TTTCCCTTACACTGCTCTCTAATAGGTCATTTCCCAGCTTATACTGGAACCTGTACTGGTGCACTATACTCCCACGGCTTGATGCCAGTATACAGACACTTGCAAAGTCAGCCAAAGTCTCCTTGCTTTCTAACAGGGGACAGCTGCAAAATGTCACACTTCAAAAACTTAAAATTGTGGCAAAATGTGAATGTCCAACATTAGCACTTCTAGAACAAAAATACTTATGGTGTGTTTTAGACATGGTCAAAATACAGAATTAACTTAGTACAGCTTTTGGCTGTGAATAAAGTTGATAATATAGTCAATTATGCAGATGCAGCATTGTCTGCACTTTGTTGATACATTACTATATTAAAAATGCACCCCATAGCTCAAATGCAGAGATTTCAAATTCATCAAATTAATGTAGAAATAAGTTATCAGGAGCTGATACTTACTCATCAAATCTTTAAACATAGTTTTCTCATGTGTTAGAAGATGATCAATAATGGATCTCCAACTGAATAAGATAGAGAATGAATTAGATAACCAGAGAAAGCTTTGGTAGAGATTCACCTCAGAAAATATTTTGGTCAAACATTTCATACAAGGAAACAGTTTCCAAATTATATTCAGTATGCAGACTCTTATCTGTTTAACACATACTGCATTCTAGGTCATCCAGCTCTACTGCATGCAGTTCCCTAAACACTAAGGGTAGTATCAGCCTAAGACAAGTTTATTCTTATGCACTATAATGAAAAATTAAGTGCTTATAATGCATTTAGTAGAATTAGTGGTTGAGACCCATTTTTCACATTATTAGTGTGTAAACATTACATTCTGTAAGAAAGTACTAAGCAGAATTTTCTTTCCAATATTAGCCACTCTCCTTTAAAGCCTTTCTTTGCAAATTCAGAATAGAATCTTGGAGTGCTTCAATCTCAGGTCTTACTGAGTGCATGAAGTGTCCATCTGGAAAAAAGCTGGATCCATATACAACTCGAGAACTTCTTTTTTCCAGGCTCGCTTGGTATAAGCGTATCCACTCAATGAGCTGAGCAACTGAGCACCAGCACGAAAACTAGGAATGTTGTAGGCACTGGGAAAACAGAATAGTAATGATAAATATATATATATTTTAAAGTTAAGTTTATGTTACCAAAAAATAAATTCCAGGGTTCCCCAGAACTTCTAACCAAATTCTCTCAGTCATAGGCTATGTCTACATTAGCTCATAACTTGAAGCAGCAGGAGATCAGCAAATCAAAGCAGTTTGTGCAGAAGCTCCTCATATTTCCAATGTACCTGGTTTGGGGAAATATTTTCAGATTAGACACATCACAGCACAGTACTGCCTGTCTCCACTACAGGTGTGGTTCAAAGCTTCCCCCCCAAAAAAAAGTTTCCAGTAAGCTTTGCATCCTTGTCAGCAGACCCCTTTAGAAGATACCACAGCAGGCTTCATCTGTTACCCATATAACACTTTTGTGTCAGTTCTCATGCCATCATAACCTGTATAAAAATCTCACACACAAGCTTTTTTCTCCTTTTGCTGCCCTATGCACCGTCTCACTCCAAATTTGGACACCATACTCTGCAAGGCACAGTAGGGAAGGAGTGTTGGGCTCAAGGCAAAGGGATGAACTAATGCTTGTCCCCTGGCACCTCAGTTTCACTGAGGACACAGATGCCAAACAGCACCCTGCTACAAATCCTTGCTACGGTAACTGCTTTGCCCATGGTTGGATAAAGGTTTCAGGTTGGGGAGGTGGTTGCTCAGACTGCCAGGAACATGATTTTTGGCTGAGAAGGGATGCTGTCAAGGTCTTCTGTTGTGAGCTGGCAGCACACCTTCACAGAAGACTTCAGCAGCCCCTGTGTTTTCAAGGTTGGGCAGAGGAGGCTACCGCCTTTTTGTGGAGCCATGCAGCCAAACTTCTGCCGATTTGGGGAGGACAGTGGCATAAAGATAGTCTTGCAAGTTATAGTCCAACTGCTGAGTAGCATGTATGAGTGACATGATAATCACAAAGCCCATCAATGGGCTAGATGGAGGCTCCACATTCTTAACCAGTGACATCTTGTTACGGTTATGGCTGCACAGATCACAAGGACTGCTGGCCTTGACAGGCCAACACTGGAGAACCATCAAGGGTCATCTCTAGGCACCTCAGCAACTTCATTAGGACTCTGATGCCCATGTCTTTTGAACCATCAGTCTCAGACCAATGGGCATGGTAGTAGCTTCTTAGCAAGAAAAAAAAGCAGGCTGACTCCTAGTGTTCAGATTTCCATTTGCACTGCAGAAGTTGTCATTTATCCCTGCAGCAGTTCACAAGGACGTCTTGACAGCAGTGGTGTCCACGTCAATTTTAACTGTGCTGTTTCCACACATGGGGCAGAGATGGAACGAGAGTTTGGCTTGCAGCCACTGGCTCGCAGCAGGCCAAGCATGGCAGCATGATGCCAGCATTCCCAGGAAGAGTTTCAGTGGTGGCTATATACAGGATTTTCCATATCTGCTGCAAACAGTGAGGGCACTGTATGCATGTGCATGGTGGTATAAGACCTGGGCAACAAGAGTGACATACACTCCATACATCAAGAATCTGACTGACTTGGTTAGGGGTGAAGTAGGCAGAAAACATAGTAATAGATACAATGGAAAATACCCACATATAATGAATAGAAAAGAATAGCTTCTGAAAATTTCTCTGCATCATTTTTAGTCCATTCCCCTTGAGAGGGAGCATGGAAATGTCTTCAAACCCTGCTGTACCCTGAGGCGTGGTGGTGGCTTTAATGCTCACTTCCCAGTGACGCTCAACTCATCATCCCTTTTAGGCACGCCTGGTTATGTCTTCTCCGGCCCTCTATACAGTTTTTGCTCTTTAGTGGTTTTGACTGTGACATAAGTAACGCTTGAGACAACCCCCACCCTCCCCTCCACCCGCAAGCTATGGCTGATGCTCTCCCACATCTCAGTACAGATTAGTCTGCTTAGAAAAATGTAGTAGCTAAAAGGCAGCAACCAGCAGGAAGGGAAGCTTGATATCTGCTATAGCAGGAGCAGCTGTAACTCAGAAAAATGCAACTGGCAGCAAGCAGGGAAGAGACAGGGAGGGTTGCTTCCTGCCACTTGGCAGGGAGCTGCTAGAAAAAGGAGGATTTGCTTTCTAAGACATCTGTGAATAGCACTGGGAGAAAGGCAGGGAGAAATACATGAGGAAGGCTGAGGAACCAGGACCAACTGATAAGGCCCTGGAAGATGGAAAGGAAACCCACCAGCAAGGAAATGTTTTCCTTGCCCTCCTTCTGTCCCTGTGGGAAAAGGGTTATACTGTTCAGCTTACAGAGGATATCATCCATCTCTATCACATATATGCTTTTGGCTGAAAAACTAGGCAGAGTATAGGGAGATATTGTACTCTTCCTACTTCATGATAGGTCCTATGACTTGCCCAGTGCTCCACTGCCCCATCCCACAGCCTCTCTCCAGTACCTAACATACACAGAAAGGGGAGCTTTTAAGGTAAGGCCAAAAACCCAGGTGGAGGAACACCTACAGCTAACAGAAACAGCTGTCACAAAGCTCAGGCAACAAAAGGTTTCAGTTCCTGGGGGAAATACAGCTCATACCTTATTAGACTGGAAACAGGTGAGAGGACAAACAGAAGAAAAAGCAAAAGCCTTACAGTATGATCAAAAAAATCAGACTTAAAAAAAAAAAAATCACATGTGCAGAGAGAGAAGTCACCTGTGGTTGCGTAGATAAGGAAATACATAATAAAGCAAACGTGAAATCAATGGCACAGCTTTCTCCTTCTCGTCGCTCCGGTAAACCATGTCCAAAAGAGAAGCAAGAACCTTAAAAATGAAAAGAATGTCTCTTTAAACCTCTAGTTGGTATTTCTGCCAAAAGGGGAAAGAATGCCATATTTCAGGCTAGAATGTGCATGCACATGGGATGCCTCTCTGAAGATTTAAGCTCCCATTTAATCTACCAGGAAAACCTAATGTATTCCTCTGCTCAATAATATCAATAAACAACCACCCCACAGATGAGAGCAACAACTACTAAACTGGTTCCTACTTACTTCTGCAAGGAGAGAAAGAGCTTGGACACTGTATATTGAAGGGGCAGAGGCAGAAACCATTGAAGATGGTGCCATTGATGTATCTAAAAAAGGCAAAATAATTTAGTTTTCCCTTCAGACATTTAAATTTTGCTGTTTCCTAATTTTCTTCCCAAACATAACTGCTATTTGCATATTGGTATTACAGTAAAATTCTTCTGGGCAGGTTGCCACAATGACATACCTCGTGCCCCATGCTGTTCTGTCCCAGGTACTGCATGCACTTGCAAGAAGTTTTCCTCTGTGTTATACACAATCTGCACATATTTGCTAAACCCACTTAGGCTGACATTATTATTGGAGTATAATGCATATTTTTGGTTTTACTTTTTTGTCTGTATTACTCCCACCTCATGCAAACTACATACTATCAAACACCTTGTGTTCTTCACTGACTTAAATAGAAGAGAGAAAGCAGCAGAAAGTCAGACAAAACCACATTACCATTCACATCTTCAATGTTGAAGTCATCTGGTAAAATCTGAGGCTGAGCTTTCACTTCTAAGTTTCGGCTCAGCCAGCTAGTCTGTTCCAGAGAAGATCCAGCAACAGTCCCTACAGCCTCCAAGATTTTTTGTGTCACCTCCTATAACATAACCAGACAGTGTGGCATGAGATGACAGCCATTATCACTTGGCCAATCCAGCAAAGACCTTTTTTATATGGAACGTGTCAGGAGGATCAGAAGTAGGCACTTTTATCTCTTAGAAACATAAATACTTCTCTGATTTAACTATCTGTGCTCTCAAGATAACTAACTAAATGCTCACTTCAAATAAGAATAGGCAAGAAAATGAGAAGAAGCAGGAAGAAGTTTAAGTTAGCTCAGGAGGTTTTAGTCAGAATTTTCCATGCAATCCATTACCATTAACGTAGTATCAATTTGGCATCAGTCCTCCCACACCATACACATTAGCTGTCATCTGTCGAAGACATGATCTGAGTTGTTCAGCCCCTCAGAAATGGCATACCAATGCCTTTATTGTTTTGAACATTGTTCCTTTCTATTCTTTTTATATTTGGAGAACATTAAGAGAGGCAAAGCATTAAATGAGGCAGAGTTTTATTTTATGGCGAACCATCTGTTCACATTTAGGTCTTTCTATCAGGGGTAGGCAAGACATAGCATCAAACTGTGCATAGTCACCCTTCAGTGTATTTAATTCCCAGTGAAATGAAAAGATGGTCACTTTAATGAAACCAAATCCCAAGTACCCAAAGCAAAGCAGAGGTCATTTGTGAAGAGGTTATAAGATGGTAAGATGGCAAAACTGGTTTTTTTACCATCATCATCATTTTGCTGGCAAGTCTCTGAAGCAGAAGTGGAGACTTAATTTATCTGTTGGCACACAAAAGTACTATAACCATAACACTGTCTCACCTCATACATAGCATTATGTTGGCCCAAAGCCAAAACTGCACCCACATAGGTAGTGCTTAAACTGTTCTGGTGAAATCGCAATCAGCATACTGCCCTACTCCACCCCTGCTTTAAATAAAAGGTGAACTGACAGTCATGCACATTGCCGAACATAGCTACGAGCTTCAAGGATAATTACGCTACTAATTTTCCTAGATAGTTTTGAGATGTCAGTACTTACACGTGACATGAACTTCTGACACCACACTTGTGTTATGATTTAAATTCTGAGAAAAATCATAAAATTACCCAGGGAAAACAGCTTTGAAAAGTCCATAGTTACCACTGCGATTTCATGCATTTTTGACAAAATTTTGTTAAGAGACATTCTGTGCATCATGTCTTTTGTATTTGACTCTCTCATATTTACCAAGCCTAAGCCAAAACCTGTAGATGGACATTCACACATTTTAAAAGCACAGGTGAATTCGGACACAAAGTACAGATCAGGCCATCTCCACTTTTACTTAGATGTACAGTGCCAGATATATGAACTAAAAGGTATACATGTATACACTGTACCTGCAAGTCTTTTTGGTCTTTTTTGTTTTCTAGAGTAGGTGTCCTAGTCACAAAGTCATTCAGAATACTGTGGGAAAATCAATTCACTCTGAGTTAGTGATTGGACAGGTCTGCTCAATGCATCTATAAGCCTTCTTCTCTCTTATGCAGTACCTGAGAAGAAGAAAGTGTCCAGGAGGAGCCAAGTTCAACTGCACAGACTCTTTGAGAAGTCCTAATAAGGACTGGAAGTTCTCCTGCAAGGCTGAGACAGGCAGTCTGACAAAAAAGACAAACAAAAAACCCAAAACACATCCAAGTCTGAAGTTAGAGTTAAGAGAAAAACAAAAAACAATGTACATGAGTAACTTGGTGGCCTAAAAGCTTCCATCAGGATCAGTCCTTTACATCCTGCCCCTTCCTAACTGATACAATTAGTATAAAATATCCATCAGCACAGGCAATATGCACACATCAGTAAATGCTAGCAGCACATGCAGTATGCCAGCCAGCACTGTAACAGGGCTGGGTCTTCAGGCAGAGGAAAAGGAATAAAGCTTAGCTAACCACTGCATGCCAGCTTACTTTATCTCCATAGCTTATTGTATACAGTACATTTTATAGTCTGATATATCTCAAGGCTTCCATATGAGAAAAGCCAAGTATGTGAAGAAGAGTTTTGATTAGAGAAATATTTCCAATCAACTGCCTGACCCACTACCTGTCCAGCACAGACTGCAGCCATAGCAGTTTTACTGAATTTAGAATTTCTCTATCCATTCCTCTGGCAACACAGAGCAGATAAGGAGAAAGATCATAAGAAATTATACAAGCATCTTCCTGTCCTGGTTTCGCTGGGACAGAATCACAGAATTAATTCTCAGTCAGAAAAGCTGCATTTTAAGACTGCAGCACCCAATTTGTTGAGAACAAAGTTGACAAGACACTTTGTTTTAGTTTGTGGCCAGTCATGGTATGTGGGTTTCCACAGTGATCAAGGTCTTTAGCAGTCTACAGTTAGCCAGGAGCTAAGGCTAGGAAAGTGAAAGCCAGGGCAGCTGGCCCAAGCTGGCCAACAGAAGTGTTCCATACCATAAATGTCACCCTTACTATAAACTGTAAAGTTTGCTAGGGACAACCCTCTTCCTCAATGGCCATAATCACTGGAGGGTATTGCTCATCTTTCTGCTCCTGAGGCCTACTCTCCTGCTTGTTGTGACCATCGCGTTTTCATCGGCTGAGCACAACTTTATGCATTTTATATTAGTATTAATATGAGTTCTTATTATTATTTCATTGAATCTGTTTTCATTTCAACCTACAAGTCTCCTTTCCTTTTCGCAAATCCCCTGCCCAGGGGTGGGGAGGGGTCATTGAGTGATAGAACAACTGCCTAAACCAAGACACTTGCTAATGAAATGCCTGAAGTATCTTGCTCTATTAGTACAAAATGAAGCTTCCAGACTGGCATAATCAATAGATCAACGGAACATAATGTCATAGCCCAGTTATTTTGTGTCTGTTACTTGACAATGAAGTGGTAATAACCATGTCCTACATAAAGGATAATGTCATAGCCCAGTTATTTTGTGTCTGTCTGTTACTTAACAATGAAGTGGTAATAACCATGTCCTGCATAAAGTTCTTCTGTGATATTGTGACATGAAGATCAAAGTAAACCAAAAACAGTGAGGCTGGCTGTTATGCTAACTAGAGTCAAACAGAAAATCCTCTTTTATAAGGACTGAATTACCTTTGAATGAATGCATAACTGAATTGCAGCACTGGAATATCTACAAGTGAAGATTTCTGAAAAATAAAAGCAAACTGCAATTATTTGCCATCAGGAAAAAAAAAAAGAAGGTCCAAGGTCTTGAATACTTGTGTTCAATGGTTAACACAACCTTCTTAGAAGCCACTTGTACTCCAACAGGTGATCAACTATCATAAAATTATTAAAACCATCTATACAGCAGTACAAGGGAATTCAGAGGTTTAATAGAGAACCCTAGTTCAGAAGCAGTCACATTAGTTTGGAATATCTGCTACAGTTTATTCACAGCTGTAGGAGCTCCTACAATGACATATATAGTAGCAGCACTGGTTTCCTTGAAAGCCAATTGGAAGATAGCAGACTCAATGTGAAGTATTTCTAACTGCTCAGATAAGGGTAGAAAGATAGAAATGTGTCACCGAGTAAATATACAGCAGCTTTATGAAAATTTTCAGCATCTTTGGTACTGGAGGACCCCACACCTTTTTCTTACCAGCAACTTCTCTAGCAAAATATTCTGAAGAACCTACTTACATTGATGAATCAAACTGCAGAAACTCACATTCTGGAAAATTTAACTTATTCAGAAGCAAAAGAAAATCATGCACTAAAAAAACCCCCAAACCCCAAACTTTCCTTCTAACAGTATTTAGAAGACACATTGGAATAGATCCAGCATAGAATATATTAAGAAAATTGAATTATCTTCATGATTACCTCTTCACCCTTGATTTGTGGTGGTTTCTTGACTACCTCTTTGACCAGGTGTAATATAGTGTCAATTCTCAATGTGTTAAGTGCACATAGTAAGTCCACAAGAATAAGCTGAGATGCACTAGCCACTGGAAGAATCTGACAAAACAAGAGACGTACCCCTCAGATCACTGTACCAGACAAAACATGAAGTTGAAAAAACAGCTTTTTGTGTGATTACTCAAATATCAATACTTATACAAAACATGAATTAGACAAGTTAAATCAAGCATGCAGCAATTTGCCATATACAGATCTTCTCCCAACACCTTCAAGAAAACAACTTCATTATGCTCAAATGAAAGCAGAAAAGAATGAGGTATTCTACTCAGAAAAAATGCTTAGTTCCAGAGAATACTACAACTCTAACCTTTCTCTGAAAATGGAGCTGATTCAAGGTCTTGAAAATATAACTGGGAAATTGCAATCCTAAAATTACAATCCAGTATTGAATAAAAAAAAAAAAGGCTATTACTATCAGACTTAAACTGCCAGACTGTCCTTTTTATTTGATTACTTGTTTAGGTTTAATTGTAATCATGATGCTTTGTGGAATTATGTACAAATAAGAGCATTTCAGATTTTTCAGTGGCTTGCCATTGTCACATATAAAAAAACCCCAAAGTATCTATAAACAAGCCCAGAGTTTAAAACTGATGATATAAATGTAACATTTGCCTTTACACTGGAAAACTAAGGGTGCCTTTCTTCAGTTTTACCTTGATTTTACTTTGATTCCTATGAGGTTTCTTGTTATTCCATACTGCTGCAATTGCTGCCACCAGCTGGATTCCAAGTTGTGCTGTCAATGGATTCAAGAAGTCCAGTATTTTAGTTCTTAATGTCTACAGATGGGAAAAAAATAACTGTCAATGCTACCCTTTGTAAGGCAAAGGGTATCTCATAGTCTGTGAAACATTCTTCCTTTTCCCAAGATGTTCAGAAAACACACAACAACAAAAGAATCTGTTTATGTACTTGGCAGTCAGACTAGTTTTGATTATTTATGAGTTAGTGTATCCTTCTTACAGATGCAAGGCACATTTGTTGGAAAACATATTGCAAAATAGAAAAAAAAATAACTTCTTGTGTTATACTCTGTCTTCTCCTACAGATATTTTTCACTACTGTGATTTACCAATATCCACAGAAGAAGAGAAAGCCTGCTATTTTTATTCCTTCCGGTATATGTACTACTGCCTGCAGTAGGTGCAGACAATTCAGAGGCGGTCGGCTCTACAGCAGCTAGCACCAGAAGCTCCCAGAAAAAGCAAAACATTAAACAGATCAGGTAAGGGTGAAGACAGGTAAAAATAACAGGGAAAATTCTACTTTTGTAGGTAGGTACTGTGTAAGTCTGTAGCTCATGAGAGTTCTTCAAAAATTCTTTGTGGCCCAATATCATTCACGTGGCCCAATGGCAAAACTATTCCTATGAACTCTATGTAAAATGCACTGGTGAGGGAGGGGATGCTAAGAATGATGAGACACACAGCAGTTAAAAGAAATCCTACTTTGGTTGCTTTAAAGTAGACTGAAGAAGAGCCTTTAGTTGTTCCAAAGAAGTCAGTTGGTCTTTTTTGAGAGTCTTCCTTCTTAATAACGCTCCAAAGAAGGGACATGGAATTAATTATGCGAGGCAATTCTTCCAAAATCGCATTCCTGGCATTTCTCAGGTTTGCAGGTTCAGCTAAACATGATGACTAGAAAAAACAAAAATATGAATATTAAAATACATTATATTATGCATCACACAATGACTGCTCTTATTCTATAATTAGGAGAATTTCAGTCAACTTTTGTAATGACAACTTTAAAAATAATTCAACCATTCTATTTTGGAAATATACTGCTGCTATTATAGAGTCTACTGAATTTGCTGTTCACTGGTTTGGCATAGAAAGAATGGATTTGTCTACGAAATTATTAGGATAACATTACCTTCTGACACATATTATAGGAATAAAAATTGTAGAGAACACATCAGCATGTTATCAACTCAAAAGAAAACAGAAGACTGTTAAAGACAGAGTAACCCAGGACTAATATTTGCATGACCAGGATCACCATGAACATCATCTGCTTAAAATTAACTTCCCTGTCTTCAAATAAAAAAAATTAAGTTCAGCACCCCTTCCTTACACTTTTACTTAGTTCACTTCTTATATTCACCTCTGAATAAAAAAGGAACACATACATTGACGAACTGGTGCCGAGGTGTCAAGTGAGTGGTAGGTATTATGCACTTACCTTTTTAGTTTGATTAGGGTGATCTAGAAGGCAGAAGTGACCAATGGTTGTCAGACCTTCCAGAAGGGTTAGTGGGTAATCAGGTGTAATATTTTCTCTTTTAGAAGTTAAGCTTCGTCGGGAGGACAAAAAAAAAATAAAATAAAAAAAAAATTAACAGGCCAAGTGGTATTTCCTTGATTAAAAATTCCAGTGGCAATCTGTTTCTATTCAACAGTTAAAAGAACACTGGAATGACCAGACAGGAATATCAAAACAAAGGATTCACAAACTATGCTTGGACAACCACTTTCTTGACTAGATCTTTTAAAATATTATTCCCCAACTGACCATAAATCTTTAACATTCAATTATTTTTCTCTATTCTTTTCACTTACTGCCTGTTCTGAACAGTATCACTGTATTTTTCTTCTCCAGGGTGTCTTTCCTCAACTAGTCCTCCAAAATTCTCAGTCTTGTCAAAACTGTGAACTTCTTTTCTGCTTGGATGGCAGGCAGAAGGGGACAGGAAGAATCACAGCTGCTGGTCATTCTTGCTGCTGGTCTCCTTTCCTCTCTTCCTCCAGCAGCAGTGAGCCCTGCTGCAACAATACTGCCTCTACCTCACCTGGGCTCAAGGGACAGATGGCTGCACGTGCAGCAGTGTTTAAGGATCAAACTCTGGGAGCTACAACACTAAACCAGTAAGTTACTATGTACTACTCTCTAGTAAGGGGAACTTTTCAGCATAACAAATCCCACACTGCAGACTCTTACCTTGCTGATGTTTTTGCAGATGTCTTCACAGCTTCATTTTCATACTGTTTCACAAGCTCATCCAGGTTTTTACATATCTGTACAACAAATGGTGCCACAGTCCAGCCTAAAGACTTCCCAAAATAGGGCAGGGAACATGTGACTAAGCCTACCCAAGTGGGATGCATCCCATAGCCATACTCTGGTTGCAAACCTCTAACCACAGCAGAGACGAATAATCCCTGTGAAGTTATTGGGTGTGGATAGACATATTGCATTGCACCAATAGCCTGCTGGAAATTAAGAGCCTGCTGCCATTCCTTAGAGAGGTCTGGCTGATTCTCCTGCTCCTCATGAGTCTGTCCAAGATGGTGCTCCAAGACAATCAATACCTGCAAGAGCTTCAGCAACTCAATCTGGAGTGGGTGTTCGCTCCATATTTGATCATGCCCAAAATTGATTAGGCTCTCTTCAAAGAGTTCTTCAGCAACATTATTAACTCGGTCTGCCATAAGCAGTTCATATCGTTTCTGACTTATATACATAGATGCAGACAAAGAAAGAAGAACAAACTCTTGAATTTTGCATCTTCCTAGCAAATTACGTATGAAGTCTGTGTTCTTATTCTCTGCTGCCTTTGCCATGGTAGCTAACTGAGTCATCATTCTAATCAGGACTTCCACACTTTTTACCTGAACATCTCTGTTGCCAAGCACATCTCTGTGCGTGACCTTCAAGTAGCATGGATAATACGAGCGCAGAAAACTGAGACAGAGGTAAGTGAGCAATTCTATTAGAAGAGAATGGGGACACATGGTTGGGGACTGAGTCTGAAGCTTGCCATAAAAACTCTGTCCTACAAGAGCTTCCTGATGGCGAGCTAAAAGATTGTAAATAAGATTCAAATGTGCTGTGGAGCTGGTATCCATGCTTGTACTAGCTACAGCTTCAATAAATTCTTTAGGGTTTGTTTTAAGCACTGCCTCCAGAACAGAAAAAGCATACAATACCCTCTTAGAATCATAAGGCTGCAAATATAACAGCATATGTTTAAACAGAGCCTCAATCATCTCCTGTTTTTCCTTCTGCTGCTTGAGCAATCTCGAATGGGTAATTTCCTGGAGCTCCAAGTCCACCTCTTCATCACTTGACAGAGATTCTGATGCTTGAGTTCTCTCAGAGTCTGCACGCACAAGGTTTAGTGCTACACTGGATTTGCAACTTTCAGGAAGGAATGCATTGAGAGAACTCACATGGTTTGTGGTCTCTTTGCCATCAGTTGCAGCACTGTCATCGTCCTCATTGCTCACTTCTTGCAGCTCCAGAGAAGGAGAGAAAGAGGATGTATTTTCACTGTCATGGCCTGTGCTGGTGTCTGCTGATTCTGTGTGCTCACTATTATCTTGGTCACCATCTGCTTCATGTGAAGTTACTGGATTACAAAAGCCATCGTTTTCAGACTGTTCAGTTTTTAACTCCAGCTTCTCTGGATCTTTTTCCACTTCTGCCCAAATTGCTTCTCTATCCACAGTAGTGAACTGGCTCAATGGAAGGTTTTCCTCAGAATTGCTCTCAGAGATGCCAGACTCTTTCAAAGAGGCCTTTTTCTTGCAAAGCCAATCATGTATATCTTCTGAAAAAAAAAATAAAATAAAAAGAGTGTATAATCGTGCATGTCACAAAACATGCTTTATATTGAATAAATCACTGTAAGAAAAAAAAAGGTTGAAAAGCTACTCTACTCTAGTCTACTATTAATTGTAATGAGCTAAAAAAACAAACCAAAACAAAAAAGAAACGGGTTAAGGCAAGAGTTATGATTTTTTTTAAAGTGGTAGACCAGTCCTAACCTACTGTTAGCACAGAAGAATAGGATCAAAACATAAAGCACGTGCTATTTCTCTTATTCTATGATTCCTTAGATGTGATTTTTTTTTTTTAATGCTTTCAGAGCATAAAATGTTTGTTGAGATCAGGAGGGAAATGAGAAGCATAGCAACACGGGATTTTTTTTTTTTTAAGAGCTAATGCTTTCCTTGATTACATGCTGTGGAACAAAAAAGGAATACATTAGCTCTGTGTTTGTATAGCATCTAATAAAACAGGTCTATTTGGATGCTATAAATGTCTGCCATCTAACTATTTGCCAATCAAGACAGAAAAACAATTACACAAGCCCACAGCTAGGTTAACAAGTAGTTAACCTAGTTAACAACTAGTAATGAGATAGACAGGTGACATGGAATTTTCTTTATACAAAACTACCAGACACTTCTTCAGTCTTCCTTCTCTGCTCCAGGAAACAAACTTGGCTACTTGGGCCAAATGGTGCAGCACCTCATATCCATACCACTCCCAGCAATTCCAAATGTGAACAGACTTCCCAGCAATCCCAAACCTGAACAAACTGCCAGTCTTTGCAGGACTCTGCACTTGGAGCAAACTGTGGCTCCATACCTGTCTCAGTCTTCCTCAGCTGCTCCCCACAGGTCTCTGTCACACTTTTTTGTTCCACATTTGACACAAAGATCATACGTGGTTCACAATGGTTCTCATTACAGGTCTTAAAATAGACATCTTCCAGCTGTCAAATTTAGCCTGTCAAGGTAAAGTCACCCTGCCACATTCCTAAATCTGGGTGGCTGGAGGTCATCTTCAATTCCAAACATCTCTCTTTGTTCCTACATCCCTGCTCTGGGATACCTCAAGACTTATGCCACAAGGGCTCAGCTCTCCTATTGAATCAACATGGATCTTCTTTGGATAAAGACATTTTAATGTTTAGAAGTTAGAAGAATTAGTTGTTTAGGTTTTGTGTGTGTGTGTGTGTGTGGTGTGCCCTAAACAGCAAGACGTTCCTCACAACCTGTCTGATGATTTTAACATGATGCTGAATAAAGAAACCTGGTATGAGGGTACATGCTATGCTGGGGCAAGACTGGGTGGAGAGAGTGATTTGCTTGGTCATCCTGCCTACTGGAACAGTTCCTGGACTGTCACCAAACTGCTCCTAGATTTCATTTGATTGCAGACCTAGTTTTGCCTGAGAAGGGATCCTGTGAACAGTGAACACACATGCAGTGTGGATCATCTGTGAATGGCAATGAGAAGTGCGGGACAAGATCCCAGAGCAAAGCAGGGAGCAATCCAAGTCAACAGTGTAGGTGCAACCACTGTAATAGAAATGATCATTAGGCTTTCAACTAGCATGACTTACTCCTGAACTCTGTTTTAGGCATCACTAGAGGTACTTGGATGAGGAGGAATCTATGGAACTGAGACAAGAAAACTCAGGGTAATAGGATGCCATTACACTTCAGAGACGACCTTCAAACAGGTGTTCAGGAGTATGCAATGCTGTGTTAGCATTTACAGTTTCAGTCCAAGGACAGTTTTACCTGCTGAATTTTTCTGTTTGATGTAGTGGATGGACGTGCGCTGTGTCTTTGGATGAAGCAGCAGCAGCAAGACTGGTTCAAGAATCCGTGCAACATCATTAAGTGAAAGAGCACGGATCAGCCAGCCCTGTGCTGCAGCACCAATTGCGCCATCTGAACAATTGAGACTGTCCAGTACCACAAACAGAGACCTGAGTGGAGAAACCAGAACCAAGTAGTAAATTGAAATCCTTAAAACAGTTAATGCAAACAACAAAATAGTGGGAGGGAACAGACATAGTGCATGTTCAAGTAAGCACCAGCCAATGGCTCACGTCTACTAACCATGGCTTGATCATGCACATTTTCCAGGTGAGGTCAAGTACACATGCATTTGTAGAAGCAAGGCCATACATATGCTCACACTCTAGAAAAGCAGCATGTTTTAAAGTTCTTTCCCATATTTATTTAGAAAACTCTTAATGCCTTTCTCTTATTTTATACAAAGGTTATGATCTTGTAAATAGGAAGTAAAATTAAAGTAAGTTTGTTTGTTTGTTTTTGCACAAGGAGGTGGTTCTATTTTCTTTGGGAAAAAACCTAACCCACTCCAAGATAAAAAACGTCTGCTATGCAGAAACTTGTCTGCAAGCTACTCTTCATATACGAAGGTCTTCCTCTTTTTACAGAAACTTCCTTCACACAAGAAAGTGCACCACGCACACAGAGTGCTTTGCAAAGGTAATAGTGCAAGAAAGTTGATCTTCCTTTTGCTCATTTTTTGTTCTCTCTACAGAGAACTTTTTCACATCTCACAAAAAGTAACAGAAAAAAGCATGACATAGTTAAATATATAAATGCAAGTTCAAGCCAGTGGAAATGGAAAATACCTATCAAAGGACCGATTGTGAGAAGTCACTCTGCTGCCTTGGATCTCTCTGGTCAGATGCCACATGACTGAGAATCTGAACAGTGCTTCCAGCCTTGTCCCCTTTGCAAGGAAACAAGACAGATACATGTTTTTTGCAGCATTTATCTCTGAGTAAAGTTTTAGTGATTCTTAAATCCCTATCAGAACAACAGTTATTGTGTAGATGACTCCTAATCCTTCTCAGGATTGAGAGCACTTTTCTATTTTGCAATAAACTAAACTAAAACGCCATATATCCATGAATGCACAAGCAAAACTTAACAGCCACAGTGTTTGTAGGAGAAAATGTATTTCAGGACTCTTGTGTATAAACATTTTAGTCTTGGTTTGATCTTAGGGAGATTTAAAAGTTGGATGACAAATGGGAAGACATTGGTATATTAGGCAGTATTTATTATTGTTAATTTTGTTTGAAAGCTTTAAAACAATTTCCAAACTTTTAAGTTTTAAAATTGCAAGAGCAAAGATATTAAAACAATACCAAAGACTGAAGGTGGCTGTTTTAAGTTTTATTGTGCAAGTCACTTCTCACAAATATACTGTAAGTTATTAAAGGACTGTTCTGTCATTAAACTAGGTAAGTAAAATAATTAATAACCAGCTCACTTAAAATACAGCTTACTTATTATGAGAACTAAATACTAAGGTGGACACAGGGTCAACATTATTTTGACATACACTTACAAGCTAAGTCCCAAGTCTTTTGTTGGAATATGAAGTTTACAAACTAAAATGATTTTAGAGTTACTGGTAGAGCTGGGTCAGTTTGGAAATACTGACAAAACCTGCAAGTTTTTAGATACTATAGTATTTGGGCCAGAACTAAAAAAGCTCCAGCATTGACTGATAGAGCTTGTATCCAGGGATTAGGTTTAGCAGTAGTCCCGTAACGAAAAAATTCCAGAGAATTGTAAAGGCGTGGACAGAGTCTGTCAGAGTCTAGGAAGACAGTGGGACCATAGGAGTGAAGACGTGGAGTGGAAGGGAACTGGAGGCATTCTGGGAAGCACTGGAACAACTCTACAGTGATGAAGGGGCTTCTGTGAATACAAGACTTACTTTATCACAATCCAAAAGTGCATGGCAGATAATGTCTTCACAGATATTTGCTGACGGTGCCAAGCAGTGCAGCCTGTAGAACAGTTCCACACAGGCAATATGATGCTCCCGTGTCTCTTTGTTGAGCTGATTCCAGAGAACACAGGCTACTCTCTAGGCAAAAATAAAAATTATTATTATTATTAATAATAATACTATTACTACTACTAATGGTGATTTCTTCACTGACATAAAAGCTTTTCATTGCATAAATGCCCTCTATTACCCAAAGGGATTTCCAAATCAGTTTAGCAAAGAGCAAGAATTCAGGTAATAGACCTAAAGGAATGCAACTTTCTTACCCTAGTAGGACAGGTAATTCAAATGTACGTGCATCAGAGGTTAAGAAAAGCATTTCTGCATCTATTTTTTGTGTCAAAACCTAAAAGATTGTACGTGTGTCAGGAACAGTAATTGGAAACACAGTAATCAAGAAAAAGATCTTGGAACCAACCCTCATACCAACACTAAAACTAATAAATGGTCAGGAGAAGAAAAGCGTACTTGAAATATATATACTCAAAACAAAGAGGACAGAATGTTTTCATTATTATTCGCCCACTAACATTTTGTCTTAACTGAAAACTTAAGATTGGTATCAAAGTCCTCTGAAGTGTAACTTTCAAGCTAATGAAACCAAACCCTTCAAGTCAGAAATCAGCTATATCTACCCCCCCAAGAATTTGGACAGAAAACCAACTAGCAATTTGAAAATAACCTGCCACTTTTGAACATCCTGTTGGGAAGCACACAAAGAAGAATGCAATTATTTTCAAATGCTTGTGGAAGCAAAAAGGTCAGTGTGTCATTGCAACACAAACATGCTGCCTCCAAACATCCATGCAAATAACATTTGCTTTCCCACTCCATCCTTAGAGGTTCAGTGTACTTCGGTAGTAAAAAAGAAAAAGAAAATTGACACCTGGTAGAAATCTGTTTTCTCTGAGATGATCTTTAGAACAACAGGAGCAATGGGAGGAAGGGTGACCATTTGTAGCTTTCCGAAGAAGGGGTTGTGGCCAGACACTTTGTACCGCTTCATCCTGTCTTCTATCACCAGTGCCAGTGACTGGGAATGGTTGATCACCTCCAGCAGCGTGAAGATGGACACATTCTGAACATAGCAGTCATTCACACAACAGCATATTGTCATTAAGGACTTCAGCCACAAAGGGAAGCTGGCATCACAACCTCCTCAGGAGATAAGTGAGAAAATTTTTTTTTAATAATCTCAAGGTTATGGTCATATTTCCAAGAATTCTTCAATCAAGCTCACAGGACCAAAAGACAAAAATGCCTGCCCAAATCCAACTGTCACACTATCATCAAGTCCCTTCAGAAGGCACTTGCTTCAAAGCAAGTAATATCCTTTTCCTTATTTCTCCCAGCAGAAAGCTTTTGCGGGACCTCAGTAACCCAGGAACTAGTAGATTTCTGCTTTCCAGTTTATGTTCACTCACAACTAGTTTTAACAGCTGCTGTTTTCCAGCTGTCATTATAAAAAACAACAATAGAGGTCTGCTGATTCAAGGATGGTCTTTCGGGTGGCATTGAAGTGTGTCAGTTCGGAAACCATGAAGCACACAAGAAACTGATATGGCTAACATCAAGTCAAGGCATCTTTGCCTCTCCTGAGTGAATTATCAGATAAAGCTTTATTAAGGTTTGACTGGAGACAGTCTGAAGTATGAGTTAACACCTCTAGCTTCAAAACCAAATGTTTTAACTGCTTTATTACCACAACAAAACAACCACTCTTCCTTCTCCACATCAGACAATTTCTGTACCATATTCAGCCCAGACCTTCCTTATCAGAGGTTCTCTCCTTTTGGCTTTAAACCTTACTGTATCCTCCGGAGTGTGCAGTTGAAAATAATTTTGAAAATAAACTTCTATAATCCTAGGATGATATTCCAAAGAAACACAATGATGAAAGCAAGCCTTCTAAGTTCAGCTACATTTCTGACCACACGGAAGGCACTGCAAATATGCAAAAGTGTCCATGTCAAGCAGACATCACCCATGTAGATATGGGCATATCATCACTTTGCTAAGGAAGACAGCAAAAATTAGTAGCGAAGTGAGGAAAAGAACCCAATTTTCCAGTTTCCCACCTCTCCAACTGCTACAAATCTATCTTGTCAACTAGCCTTCAGGCCAATAGCTGCTTCTGCTAAAGCTAATGAATTTACTTGAATGCCCAGAACAGACCAGAGATTATACAAGATTATTCTTATACATTAGCTTACATCAGACTCCTTTGAATTCTGAGGGTTAGAGAAAGAGCTTTTTTTGCTTCTGTTATAGTTTAGAGCTCCAGTTTTCCACCTACACCCATCTTCCTCTAACATATTCTCTTTTTTTAGGGGGACAGGTACACACACTGATGGCAGGGAACAGATTTATTGAAAATCCTCAACCATCCTACAAGGATTTACAGGCCAGAAGGTCTTTTCATCCTTTAAGCTACAGGTTTTGTAGTGAAAGCTTTCAAAAGAATGAGAATTTTAAAAGCTTGGTAAAAATTGTCCCTCAGCTGCAAGACACAAAACACATACTGATATGGGTAAGACTTTAACCCACATGCAACTTGCCTTCAGCCTTGCCAAAAGGCATTATTACTACTGGCCCTGGTCACATGTCTTGCAAACAGCCAAGCTCAAACTGCTATTTGCATCCTTAAATGCTCAAGTTGCTCAGTAAAGGAATCTTTTCTTACCAGGAACCTGAAAAAGAGAGAGATACAACTGCTCCATCTCCTCCTCCGAAAGGTATACTGGGAACGTGGTACAATCCAACAAAAGGTGACAAGCTGCAGCGAAAGCTTCCTTGCAGTCACCTCTAAGGGGCCCCAAGACAAGCATCACTTGTTCTAAGTCCCACTCTTCTTCCTCCTTTTCCTTTTTATTACCAGCGTTGCGGTCAGAAGGAAGAGGATTGGAACTCTTGGTCTTGAATGCTGATCCTCGAACTGAGAACAAGTCTGAAAGCATTTGTTTAAACTGAGGTACAGTGATTTGCTTTGCATCCCATGGGCTCTTTTTCTTGCTAGCACTTTCAGGCAATCTGTAGCCATTCTCTTTTTTCTCTTTTCCACTCAGATTCATTGCTAAGATGCTTTCATTACTTGTTTCTTGAAATTGCACCCCAAAAATGTATTTACTGGAAAACTTGGCAACCAGCTCCTGGATGCAATACAAAGTCTTCTGAATGCTCCCTCCTTTCTTCCAGACATCGTCTTTCTCAAGGGTCACAGTTGGCACTCCCAAGTGCTGAGAGAGCTCTGGGGAAGAAGCACTTAGGCCAATGCCACTGTCTTCTGACTTCAGGGGAGGAAATGGAGTCTCATCCTCCTCCTGCAGCACAGGCTTAGTCTCCAAGGTAATGTCCACATTTTCCTTTTTCACTGGGCTCTAAAACAGGAATGTTAATGTGGTTAATGTGGCACTGCATAGGTTGTTTTAAGCTACACAGAACAGTGGCAGGCACTGGGGAACAGCGCTGACAGAAAAATCCTCTTGTATTTGCAATTTCCAGATACAGATTACTTTTACAAAATTATGAGACATAGCTCTTTGCAAGCAGTTCAATTTGATTGCATTTAAAACCTAACAAATATTTATATAATCCTCACACCTTGATTCATCAAACACCAACAGATCCCTAGCTACAGATACTTAACAAATGGAAATGTTTCCTTAAAATCAATTCACCGCTAGAAGAGTATTACTTATGTTGGATTATTTCTAGTCAAATCCATGTATTTGTTCTACTGCAAAGCTTTGGCAGGCTATGCTTGTGCGACTGCTTTATGCCATCTATACCTCATTCCTTATCATGGTCTCTTGCACACAAATAATACCACATTGTGTTAAACTAAAATATTAATTGAAAGCCTTGCAGACCTAACCAGCTGTAAAGCTGGCTGTGATTTGGCAACTTGAATCTTTAGCAACCACATGATGTTGAGTGCCTTTTGAAAACCATTAAGATCACATTCTTCTCAAGAGGTAGGATTATAGCTCCAGTTTCAGACAAGACTATACTCCTTCACCATCACAAATAATTCAAACAGAACTGAATATCCAGTAAGAATAACAAGGCATCAGATAGTACTGGAAGGGGACAAAGTAGATAAGCTTAAAAAATCTCCATTGCTGCAGTTATCTTCTAGGTTTAAGGTAGAAGAATCATCATTCTAAAATAATTTATGCCACTAACAATGTTAAACATCTATGAGTAGCTGAAAAACACCTACCCCATTTCCACTTCCTGTCTCAATGTCCAAATAGGAAGGGGGCATTTGTACTTTGCTAAGCACCTTAAAACAGGTCTTTAAGGCATGAGTGAGTTCTGGTAAACCTAATACTTCCATATTTTCCAGGAGAGACTGCACCATATAACTAAGCATCTGTGGAAGATACTGAGTCTGCACTTCAGAGTAGAGTTCCTAAAACAAATAAGCATTGTTTAAAATAGTTATCACATATTCAGCGGTCTAGCAACACTGATCAATGATTAATAAAGTCAGTTAATGAATGATTAAGCTGTACAAACTTATTTCAGTGCTATTCCTTCTTTCTTCATTCTCCATGATGGACACTGAATCATACCCTAAAAATCTTATGATAGTCAGCCAGCTACTAAGAGACCAAAAAGTCCTAGGAAATTATTTACTCAAGAAGCAAAAGCCACACTTTCTAATTCCTTTGATAGAATCACCATACTTTCAAATGCAAACAATTTGTATTTTGCTAGGCAATAGCATGGGTACCTGTATATAAGTCAGCACATAAAACTATACGTGGCAGGACACAGCATGCATATGCACACATATATCAATCTGCCTATTTTCATTTCAGGTTTTGTTTGATTTTAAGTTACTCAATACTTCAAAGCAGTTAACATCAGGTTGCCTTACCAAAGGAATCACGTCAAGAAGAAACACCAACAGTGTGCAGAGCTCTGAAATTGTAGGAGGGGTGCTAATATTTTCAAGAGGGTATCTCATCTGTGTGGATTTGTTTCTGGGTTGAGAGAAACATGATTATGTAAGCTTTTTTTCCCCAGTCAAAATTATTGTCAAAATTATAAATAAGCTTCATTAAAACCATCACAAAATACTGAACAACTAGGCTTTCTGAAGCAAAGTAAAATTGGACTTATAATGGGATAAAACCATTCTGTCAAAAACACCTAAACAGTAGCTTGCACGTGGGATGCTAAAGTGCTTCTAATTTTCAGATTGAATCTCTATACACAATTTTTCTGCTTAAAATATAATCTTCTCTCCTGTATTTAGAAAGAGATAGAAAGATAGATATCTTTATTTTTCTTCAAAAAACACTTCTTCTTCCAAGGAACACCTCTCCACCTCTCCTCCCAAACTTTTTCCTCCTTCAGCTGTCACTTTGAAAGTAATTTCTTTTGTTCTCAGGTTGCTAGTTTCCATTTAATTGTTTACCTGTTTGCATTCTTGAATTATCTCGAGATGCAACTTTCATATCTATCTGATTCTAACATGTATTATGACCCTTCCAGAATTTAGATGCTTCAGTAAACTTTATTATCTTACATAAATAGCTCTTAAGTGGCATTTTTAAGAGGAGCACTATTGTTTGACAACATAAATGTAAAAGGAAAAGACTCTCTGAGAAAATTTTTGTAAGTGAAATGATATTGATTAATAGAAGTACTATAGGTAAGATGAAAAATTAGAAACAGGTGCTATGAAATAATAGATCTAATTCTTATAAACCATGCAACCATGTTGCTTCTCCCTTTGTCCCTTGTATAGCCTTTTCCATGGTTGGTTTAAACCCAATCCAGCTGAATCAACAGGAATAATAGAGTTTAGGACATAATAATTATAGATGATAAGTGATTAACTTAGAAAGTATAAGTTAAATGTCACTATGTAGGCTTTTTTTAAAAGTGCAAAGGTGAGCAGACAAGAAGATTATTCAAGAAGATAACTGAATACAGTGACCAGAATGAAACCAGTAGGCTGCAACTTCTGAAGAGGCACTGAGACGAGACTAGAAGAATCAGCTGCATTTGAAGAATCACTGTGGAGTTTTATAGAATTTTAAATTAACGAGAAATTTGGAACTGAGGGTTTGTGGGAAAACACCAAGAACTTTGAAAAGAAAACCTATTGTATAATGTTAAATTTAGCATATATATAGAGCCTGACTTATGCAATGCCTTTGCCACTCACTCAGGTGATGGCCCAACTCCGAGTTGGCAATAAAGCAAACCCAGAGTTGTCCACAGACGGATTGAAAATTCCTACGTAATAAACACCTGAAACAATCTTCGAAACATTTCGTCATGTAATCCCAAAGAAAATCCGTGCTTAAGGATGTGATCAACAAATTGACTGTTTTGACAATTTCTGAAGCATTTTTGTTCTCTTTGATTGCACTGTGTGAAAGGGAAAAAAAGGAAAAAGAAACAGATGTCAGTGAAGATTCTAAGAGCATGCACATCACAGTATTAGCTAAAGTGTTCTAAAATATTTCCCCCCCTTTCTCTACAAGCTACAAGACTTACATAATCATTGTTTTAAATCAAGGACTAAGTCATTCTGGAACATCTAAAGTTTAAACATATTTCTCCCACATGAAAGAAATCAACCCTTCAACTTTGAAAATCAAAAGGCTGAAACTTCTGACACCAGACTGCTTTTTGGCCAATATAACTGGATTTAATCAACACCAGTCATATGCAGTGTACTAAATTTTCTCTAAATTTTCTCTGGTAATCAAAGAGAAATCAAGCGTGTGTTGGGAAGTCATAGGAAAATCTCAT